AAACACATACACATATATACATACACACACACACAAATATATATATATATGCAGCAATTTTTCATTAATGCATGTTTCATTAAATAATATAGACAAGTTTTGTCTATTTATTTTAAATAAGTTTCTTTCATGTTGTCTGATAAGCTTATGTGCCATATGTTCATCTGTGTATGAATTTCTGGGTATTATAAACCTAATATCTTCAGCAATCATTTTTAACCAGAGCTCATATTGCAATTTTTGCTGTTATCATTGCATGTTTCTTACCAGAGCCCATATTGCAATTTTTGTTGTTATTATTGCTTTTCTCTGACACTCCTTATTCCCATATTGTATTCATTTCTATGCGTGGTCGGCTCAGGAGATTTTTGTGGCCTAGCATATGTGCTGATTCCTTAAGTTTACGAATTTTCCAATGGTGTTCTTTGTCTATGATATCAACCTGATCCAACAGAGAGCGGTGATTTCCTTTCTCTCTCCATACGTGATCTGCCACGCCTTATTTTTCCACTTCCCCTCGTGATACAGCTTTCTGGTGTTCTTGAAGCCTTACCTAAAGGGGGTGGCCTGTCCCCACTTTATATTAATTTCCTCAGCTGCACGGGATAGCGTACACACAGTCTTTAGTCATGTTCTCCTCTATGGGGGGGGGTCTTACTCGGGAGAGATATCTGCGAAGTGTCGTCAAGCTTTTGAAGGTTGTCCTGATGTTATGTGGACTGCAGATCCTTTGTATTTTCTCTGATAACCCCCTCACATAAGGTAGGCAGACTGTTGTTGTCCTCCTCTTGTATCAGTCTATCCCAGTTTTTTGGTGCTGTTGCCATGTACCCGGGGTAGTTGTTAGTTAGATCCAGTGACAGGACCCAATGAGTTTGAGTTCAATACCCGGTTAAGGCAGTGGAGAACTTTCAGAGTGAAATTAACTGATAACTCACATCCATTAAACATGGCACGTAGAACTAGAACAGTCTACCTCAGCGAGCGAAATAAGGGGTTCAGTTCGACACTCCAATCGCCTGAAGAAGGCCGGAGCGTACAACGGCCGAAACGTTGTAATAAATATGGCGACAAAGATGAGGACAATAGTCCGAATAATGTTTATAAGGTCTTTTCACAGCATTGATTAAAATATGTTCCACCAATAAAGATCTTTATATGTCAGTGATTCTTTTTTTCTGTTCCTCTTGCTTGCACCTACATCTAATTGCACAGCAACATTGATCAATAATGCAGCTGGGAAACACACGACTCTCACTTGAACGATAGAAGATAACTCCACTTCTTGATATAAATTACGAGCAAAAAACGCCCTGGCTTCAACCAATAAATTTACCATGATTATATTACCTGAATATTGATAATTTTTTAAAACAAAAACAACGAAACTGATTGTAATTTCTGTATATGTAATAGTTGGGAAGGCATTTTCTGTCAAATTTTATCTCATTGTTAATTTTCGTCAACGCTGACTAATCAAGGTCTGCGGAGAAAATTCAACGATTTCGACACGCGGCAAACTGGAGATACAATCTTCTCGCGACGGATGCAATTTTTTTTGACAACATTGTAATTTAAGCATTGAAAAATTCTATTTTAAATTTCTTTCCTAGTTACTTAAATTCAACTTCAAGAAAATAATCTAATTTCTTACAATCACACTAATGACATTTTATATTTGTCATACTTTTAACAAACAAGGCGAGAGAGAAGGAGGATATTTGTGATTTCCTGACGCAGTTGACTACAATGTGTCCATATCATTAACAGGTACACCAGCTTTTGTAGCTGGAAGCGTTGTGGCATTAGTGTTGGGGGAAATCTCCATAGAAGCGGATGGTGTGATTTTATCTTGATCTCATGTGGTGCGTGTTTTAAGGCCGGCAAATAAATTATTTGAACTTGCGTTTTTTTTTGAAGTAGCGAAAGAGAAAAATACATAAATAAAAGAAAGCTTTTGAAGTCAAGTGACAACAAAGTCGGACGTTGATGATTTCCAGATGCCGGTTTATATTAAGACTTACAGACGGGATTGTAGCTATTAGTCCTTGTCCGCTCTTTGCAGTGGATAAACTGACTCTTGGGGATTTCCGATGCTGCCTGTTCTTGTTTCCAATCAAACGTCGTAATGTTAAGATGTCGAATTCGTAGGAGGAAGAGTCGAAGAGAAGAACCCGGCATGGCAGAAATTTTCCCAAGTGGCGCCTACCTAACTACCTACCCATCCAAACAGAACATGCAAAGCCCGGAATAAAACACTTAAATATATTGTAAACAGATTTCGAGATCTTATTCCTTGTGGTGTTTTTTTTTTAAAAATCTTTCGTTTCATTGTGAGCTGGTAGCAGGCTCCTCAAGACATAAACGAGAATGGAGACGCAACGTGGGGCTAGTTATTGGAGTCAGCTTTACCGCGCAACTAAAGTGTATAAAAAAAACGAACGCGGATTCGTTTATACATAACAAACCTAATAAGCGTGATTAGCTGAGGGAGTAAGTTGTGTGATGACGCGATAACATGTCGCCACCCTCAAATCTAGTCTTACTAGTAGCTTGCTATCTGAGTGTCTTTCTTTTTCTCTCTTTTTAGTCGATAGTTAAGCCGTATTCATGGTGTATTCTTTTTTCTCAACATTTATTGGGAGATGAGTATGCTACATAACATTAGGACCTTCTTAATACCAGTTGAAATCGGCACCTTTTTTGTTTTTGACGTAATTCTAAAAGAACGGAGTCAAGTCTCTAACTTGCAGTAGTCGTCGGAAAATCTTGATCCAATCAATTTAACGTCGCTTGAACTCCAGTGTATTACCGACCAAGTCTTTGCTGATATAAAAATCGGATCCTGACTCATTTCAAACATTTTCTTGATTAACGATGCTCTTTCTGGCGATTCTGGTACCATGGAGTCGTCATTTATATGAGTTTTTCCTAACACTAGAACAATTAATTAACTCTCGGCAACTGGGTTCCTACAGAGTGTACCAAAGAATCTTACATGAGGATAATTCGCTAACAGTAGGTAGATAAACATCAAGTGTAGTATTCTTTACTCATGCACTATCCTAATCTAACTGAATCACACCTCGACTCTCTCTCTCTCTCTCTCTCTCTTTCTCTCTGTATTGGGTAATTATTTCAGGGGGTTTTGACACCAAATATCGATAAGAAAACCTATTGTGAAATTTTATCGCTAATCCAACAATCTAGATGGTATTGGCTTTGGTGCTTTAGCCGTTTTTCTAATTCTCTGTTTGGTTTAATTCTTTTTGTTTAAATTATTGGTTGGGAAATCTTTATCGTATTATAAATCGTCCACCTTTGAGCTTTTTGACAAAAAACAATCTGAATCGGGATTACCGGAATATAAATATTCCTCTCGTGAGGTGTGAATGTATAATATTCTCTTCTTGGAGTTAAATATTTAAACAGCCTTTCTGCAGACGCATTTCTACCTTCTAGTTTGCAACATCCTGCAAAGTCTGAGCGGGAGGATTCATATTATACTTGAGTAACAGTTTAATGACAATATTAGTACAGACATTATGTGTGCTAAAAAGAAATAGACAAAACAAAAAAAAAAAAAAAAAAAAACGAAACAAAAAATTACCAAAATTGAAATATTCATTATTTAAATTTTATTACACTTATTAACACACTATTATTATGTTCATCTAAGACTAAGAGAGATAATTCTAGTGAACGTTAAAATTGCAGACTTAACATAAAATACACTAAGTTCACGATACGTGGGTATCGAAAAACCGACAGATTCAGAATTCCGTTATCGACGTTGCACACTAAATGGAAATTCGTCTAACAATTGCTTTAATAGATTTTGATACAATTTGAATTCAAATTAATACATTATTATTGAGTAAATTTTACCCCTTTTTTCAGTCAGTAAATCGGTAAAATAGCCGCAATTCATTTTAAACCTTTGAGCCCTGCGTTCCTGAATAATTTTAACCCTTCTGCTTGACCCCCTGAGTCAAAATTCACAATTAATTGGTATGTAATGTCTCACGGTAGATATAAAACTAGTTACAAGTGTTTACCAACCGTTCAACCAGTGACTGGGCATTAAGCCATTTTTCTCTACCACTGTTAAACCGGTGGCTGGGCATTACGTCATTTTTTTCTATCGTCGGTAAAGCGGTGGCCAGGGTCCAAAGTATTAATAATCAGCTATTTGTTGTTGTTGTTTTTTTCTTCTTCGAAGCGGCATGACATGCATTATTAACCGACTTCCCACTTTCACACATTTTAAGTTCATTCATGTTCTGGGATTTCAATATTTCTCTGCAACGAAAATGGCCTTTTGAAACAAGTCGTTGAAGCAAAATGTAACACGTGTTGAGGTTAACCGTTTTCGTTTCAAAAGAATTTATAATTAACTCAATAATAATCGAATAAATAAACGATATCTTCGAGAATTAGTTATTTACAAAATTAGAAATATAACCCAACACACACACACACACACACACACACACACACACACACACACACACACACACACACACACTGATGAATCAATGTTTCACGATCTGATGATCATTTGTGGCGTGAAACTGATAACGACAATGTATTGCTGATTTTTATAACCACACTTCTTTTTATTACAAACGCAATATATCTTATATTGAGTCCACTTCCCCATGAATAAACCAAGTTTTGACCAATAAATACCGGGCAACTTTCCCACGGATAATGAGAAATCTGGATTTATTGATTTTTTTTATCGCTTATCAATCATTTTCAGGATATTTAAAGCCATAAAATACAGTTAGATTGTATGAACTTTCTGGAGTGGAGAGATAATAATGATTTATTGATACACATCCTACTAAACCCATTCCTGGGGGAGAAAATTTGATTCGTACATTTCTTAAGAGTATTTGCGCGTAAGTGAATATAAAAAACCAATGCAGATTGGAACTCGAATCTCCGATTAAGAATCCCAAGTCGTTATCCATTACACCACCCTCACATCCAAGCTTTCAACGCCTGGTATTCCCAAGCGATCACCCATCTAGGTAAGGAGCAGGCTCGACGTTGCTTAACTTTGGTGATAGAACGAGGACCGGTGTTTCAACATGATATAGCCGTAAACTGTTAATATTTGTCTGATATATGAAGCGTTGCCATTAGTGATTATTGATTCCTTTCATTTGATTTGTATATTTACCATTATTTCAGTTTTTCTTATATTCTATGGTCGTTAAGTATGTACTATGCAGTAATAAAAATACATTGAACAGACAATGTGAAGAATAGTCAGAAAAGAAATCACTAGTAATTAGCGACATCTTCACCGTGCAGAAAGTATCTGACGTGTCTTCTTGACAAGAAATAGAAAAAAACAAACTTTAACAGCTATTATTTCTGCATGATTTCCACAAAAAATACCGTAATTCCCCATGTATAATACGCATTTTTTCTAAAAAATACTAAGCAACATTAGGGATGCGTATTATGCACAGCTACAAAGAAATCTTCAAAAAATTGCTTTTTCATAGGTCGATTTCAGTAGCGAAATGACTACTCACCACAAACATACGACAATTTGACACTAACATTCAGCGATTGCGACCCCATAATAATGTCAAATACAATCATATGTACCTAACAATAGTTAAAAATGTAAAATAAAATAAGAAATATCAGAAAACTAAATTAGAATAATATTATTCTATGTTTAAAACCATTTTGTTAATAAGAATAGGCCGTAATGAAATTGGAGAGGTACAATATATAGGGTTTGATTAGCAAACAAAGGGGTGCGTATTATGCGTGAGTAGAATCATTTTCCTACAATTTCAGCATAATTTTAGGGGTGTGTATTATGGGTGAAGGCGTATTATACATGGGGAATTATGGTAAATCTGATGGATGTTTTGGCAAAATAAAAAAATCTTTTAAAAAATTGCCATTTCATAGGTCTATTTCAGTTGTGAAATGACTACTAACCAGAAACATATGAAATTTGACAATAACATTTGGTGATTGCGATCCTAAAGATGTCAAATACAGTCATATGTACCTAACAATACTTATAAATGTAAAATAAAATAAGAATTATCTTAGAACTAAATAAGAATAATATTATTCTATGTTTAAAATTATTTATTGTGAAAAAATGCTTACAAATCTGGTAGATTGCACATTTTATCGTGCAAAAACAGGTTAATGAGTCTGCGCAGTAGGCACAATATATGTATTTCCGTTTCCTTTCAGAAATATGATGATCGGAAATTTTGACAAATATCTTCAAGTACAACTTGAATAACAGTAGGAAATGATGGCCGTAATGAAATTGGAGATGTACAATTTATAGGCTTTGATTATAATGCGTGAGTAGAAGTATTTTCCCAAACTTCCTGCACAATTTTAGGGGTGCGTTTTATGGATGAAGGTGTATTATACGTGGGGAAATACGGTACTTGACATGAAACTGAATCATGATTTTGACGACGCAATCTGATACTAGAAAAGTATCTCGAGCAAACGTCTTGGCATTTCTAGACTCTAGTTTCCAATGCTTGACAGGTAATCCCAAAACGAAGCTACTAGAAGAAGACAATGATCCTGCTTTACCCCCCGACGCTATGTACTGATGATAAGGCGTGGCCTATACCTAAAACATTGGCATTTATAGTTACATTCTTGGAAAGAAAAAGAAAATACTCTTGCAAGTGTTCCAAAAAATGGGACTCAGGATAAACCTTTTCAAAACAGATAGAATAATCTGGAATTGGAATGAAACCAATGGTGGCACATATTTTAAAACCGTAATAAAAATTAATGTTACTAAACACTTCAAATACCTCGGTGCATGGATCAGTTTTTTTTTTAAGCATTTTACCCCAAGCAAGGCGGGAAGCCACTAGGACGCAAGGGGTTACAGAAAGTTTAGAGCAAGATCAGATAGGAGTGATAGAAGAAAGGATGAGGGTAGTGGATAGATCAAGGCAACTGGAGATGTCGATTGACATTACACTTGAATAGCTGGAGATTATAGCTCACAGGGAAACAAGAATAGGGAAGGGAGTTCCACAGGCGAGAGGTGCGAGACATGAAGCTATTAAGTAGAAGAGACGTCTACATTTAGGAGTTTCGACAGTGAAGGGGTGAGAGCGGGATGCCAGCCTCGTGGGGCGCTGGAACTCATGACGTCTGCGAACCAGCGAATGCAGCTCCTCCGAAGGCAATTTCCATGAAAATCTTGTAGAACAGACAGGGGGAGGCGACAGCGCGTCTGGAGAAAGTGACTGTAGATGAGACGCCAGGGGCAGGGCCAACCCCATCATATCCGCCTCTGGAGCCTATCAAGAATCCCAAGGCAAACAGAAGGGGCACCAGACCATATGCAGCAATACTCCATGCAAGGGCGAATTTAAATTTAGTATAGGGGTAAAGAAGTTGAACACAGAATATGCTACACTAGATGTAGTTTCGCCCCAAACCTCCAATTGCTGCAAAACCAAAACAGTAACCGGAAAACTCGAGTCATGTTCTTAAATAGCCGAGTCAAATACATATCATACATCCATATTGGTGAGCTGCATGGCGTCAAACCGGTACAGAAAAATATAAACTGTCAGTTGCATAGCGCCAATTTTTCAGATCTACTGCTAAAAATGGCTTCGATCGAAAGAAACCGGTTCGTCTGAGCAAGGACTATCATTCTTCGAAACTAATTGGCTGGCGCTACCGAATCACGAACACACTGTAGCAAATATCAGAAACTACATCACTTGATGACGTTCAACAGTAGCCACAACTAAAACATGGCATGTATCATAGAAAATGATGGCAAAATCAAGATGATGACGTTCCACACTACTACAAACAAATGATTAGGAAGGAAACCCCATCAATACTGGAAAGAGCAATAAAAGCTACTGGACGTGAAAAACGTATTTTTCTGAACAAATCAAGGAAAGTTGGTTCTGTGTCGCGCCGGAAAGTCTTTCTCGCCTGAGTTCATCCTTCAAATCTATAAATCAACCATTCGTCCTTGCGTGGAATACTGCTGCCATATATGGTCTGATGTCCCCGCTGTTCATCACAAGATCCCCGACGACATCCTGAGACGGATGGATATACAATGTGGCTAGTCCTGGTCTGGCATCTCGTTTACAGTCACTTTCTCACTGACGTGCCGTCGCTTCCCTCTGTCTTTTCTATAAGTACTTTCACGGAAATTTACTCCGATGAGTTATTTTCGCTAGTTCCCAAAATGCATGAATTTAAGTTTGTTACTGGGTTGGCATCTCAGACTCACCCTTTCACTGTCGAAACGGTTAAATGTAGGTGTCTCTTCTACTGCAATAGCTTCACGTCTCGCACTTCCTGTCTGTGGAACGCCCTTCCTTTGAATCACTTCCCTGAAAACTATAATCTGCAAAAGGTCAAATGTAATGCCAATCGACATTTTCTGATGCCTTAATCTAATTCCCCGTCCTTCCCTTTATCCTTTTCTCAATCAGGTCTCTTGCTCTTGCTTCCAACCCTTGCGTTTTAGTGGCACTCCCGCCTTGCTTGGGGTGAAATGCTTTAAAAAAAATGTTTTCAGATAAAGAATTTACAAATTTCAACCGGATGAATGTTAAACGTTTCCTAATATGGAACACGGATACTATTACCATTACAATCTGACAATGTTGTCGTTGATTATATATTAAACCAATCCTCGGTACAACGATAAACTACATCCGGCAGCAAGGCCTTTGATCGGGAGATTGGCGATTTTGTGGGACATGGAACCACCAGTTCATTGCTGTTGTTCCCAGATCTACCCTAATCTGGGTTGATAGCACCTGTTAGAGACCCAGCTATGGAAAAAATAGTGAACCCTCAAACAAAAACAAAACATTATGAAAGTATAAAAATACATATTTTAATAAAAATACCAGCTATATATTTTTTATATTAAAAAATGCCAACAATATCTATTGTTACATATACATTTTATCTGTAGTAGAAATCATAAAACTGTGTGCAAAATATTTAGATTTCGGCATTAAATAATCCATAGAGGTTGATATATCGGTAAAGAAAATCAATCAACCACACAATCAACTTGAAAGATTTCTTTCATGATATTAATCCATATAATATCCTACAATCTACATAAAGAAAACCGTATTTCAAAATATCACTTCAACAAAACTACAGCATAAAACACACATATCCACACAGACATGTATATACATAAAAGCTGAGTATCATCTACCATGTATTCAACTGTGAAGGCAGAATAACATACATAATATTTTTATTACTCCAAAGTTCACAAGAAAATTAAATTTCGGCATTAAATGACCCATGAAGGAGTTGATGTACCGTCTAACAAACCAAACTAAATCAAATCATAATATTATACGGAGATTGACATTAATATTTACTTGGTGGGGATGTCATGTCCATTCAGGACTTAGCTGATCATGACTCCTCATATATTCATTTTCTTTATTTATTGTGAAGGGCTTGGATACCCCACTTTAAACTTGGCCTTGTGCCACATCTTGCTGCGTGGGGCAGCGGGTAAATAATTATATTGTGAAGTGCTTAGAATTCTTGAGAAATATAGTGGAGCGGTTAACTGTTGCATACACAGTTTAGAATTCAAAGTTTTCTTTCTCCTAGACTGGGTAGTATTTAGATGGGTGACCGCTTGGAAATATGTGGTGCAGTAAGCTTGGATGCGAGTGTGGTGCAATAGATAATGGCTCGGAATTGTTAATTGCGCACAAATATCCTTAGGAAAGTTATGAATTTACCGCGTCTCCTCCCAGCTATGGGTTAATTAGTAAGACTTGTATCACTAAGTCATTATTATCTCCAAAAATACATTATTACAATCTAGAAATGCTTTTTGTTTACTTTGAATGGCTTTCAAAGCTTTGATAAGTTGTCAAAGCAAATCAATGAATCTTCGAGACTGAGAGGAGTTTCCATCGCCAGCAATAGAAAGTAAAGCATAATCTCTTCATGTGGTTATCATACTTTTCTGTTTTTTTTTCTTTTTAATACAATACACCCTTATGCAAATTAATTGAAACAAAACCAATAATTCTGTTATTATTTACTTTATTCGTATTTTCCC